TAACTATTTATTATTAGTATGGTTTTCACCAAACCATCAAAATAACAATTTGGTTTAATGTAAAATTTAAAAACACATTTATTTAATAGAGCCCTACTACATGCTATGTATTCACTTATTTACTTGCAAATCCAGATATATTTTTGAGACATTCACCCTACTAATTTTCTTTTATCTTTTTTCCTCCATCTTTATAGGTGGTTCATCGTTGGGTGCCTTGCAGTCGTGATCCGGTTAGCCGGTCTCACATTGATAAGACCATCCTGCTGGTCCAGGTGGATGATAAACTGGTTCCCATTATAGAAACAGGAGTGATTGAACTGGGTGCAGAGGTTTGAGGACACACACTCGTCCAACTGCAGGCCACACTCAACTTCCAGCTGCTGACCGAGGCGCAGGAAGCCGGGGAAACGTGCAAATGGAGAACATACACACACATAAACACACACACACTTAACTGCTGGCAAGAAGCACACTTGCTGGAATGGGGACAGAAAGCTGCCTTGCTCCGTGTTCCTCCTGGGATATGCTGCATGAGAGATCAGCTCCTGTAAACTCTTCTCTCTCTCTCTACGCGTCTCTCCTTTATATGAGCAGCTGCGTTTCATTCTGTGTCTTAGGTTCTATGCATCTCATCACACATGCAAACTCACAGGGAACACTAAAGCCGAGCTTGATGTACACGCAGAGGGGTTTTTTATTACAGCTCTAAGTTTTATTTTATACTTTCTGCCAAAATAAGTCTGGACATGCAGTGAAATCTTGTGACAGGCTGTGTTTTACTTGCTGCCAAGACATCAGATGGACAGATAGATTTAAAGACAGATACACAGATAGACAGACAGATGATTGCAGTGAGGGTGATGTTGTAACAGAAGCAGGTGCTTCTTTTACGTCATCCTTATTTTTTTAAACCTCATTGATTGTGTTGAGGTGTTCTGAGAAACTTTAACTTGCACTATGATTTGAGTTCTTTTTGTTTTTGATTTGCAGCTGTGCACTACTTTCTGAGATTACACGTTATTTATTCCTCCGCGAGTTGAATCGCTGCGGTTACCGATGCCTTTGGAATGCGAATTGCGAAATCATCGACACGTTCTTTTTCCGCCATTTTGATTTTCTCCTTTGGCTTGAGGACAAGAGGTGGTTTTTTAACCACGTGTAGTTATGTACGAATATATAAATGTGTCTGTAAAAAGATTTGGCTTTGAATATTTATTATTGTATTTACATTTTGTTATATTGTTTTTCATTTACGGGACAAATAAAAACAATGCATAAATATGGTTTATTCCTGCGGACGTGACTCGATGTTGTTTTCATGAGAAGCATGAATTGGGTTAATGGACACATGGTCATGTGATCTGAGGGACAAAGGTTGCTGCTGTCATGAGAAGACGACACTGTATGTTATACACCAGTGTTTCTCAACCCTGTTCCTGGAGAACACACGGACAGTACCTATTTTTGATGTCCCTCTTATCTTTTTTTTTTTTTTTTTTAACTTTTTTTATTATTAACAATGCTTGAACAGTAGCATTAATACTTTTTTGAAAAAGGCATTAATACTTTTTAGAATTCAAAAAGACTGATAACAATCAATTTACATACACAATCTTTCCATCCTCAATAATAATGCAACATACACTTGAAGTCAGAATTATTAGCCCCCCTTTGATTTTTTTTTCTTTCTTGAGAACGTTTTATTTGTTTTATTTCAGCTAGAATAAAAACAGTTATTTTTTTTTTTAAACACCATTTTAAGGTCAAAATTATTCGCCCCTTTAAGCTATATATTTTTTCGATAGTCTACAGAACAAACCATCGTTATACAATAACTTGCCTAATTACCCTAACCTGCCTAGTTAACCTAATTAGCCTAGTTAAGCCTTTAAATGTCATTTTAAGCTGTATAAAAGTGTCTTGAAAAATATCTAGTCAAATATTATTTGCTGTCATCATGGCAAAGATTAAATAAATCAGTTAATAAAAATGAATTATTGACACTATTATGTTTAGAAATGTGTTGGGAAAAAATCTTCTCCGTTAAACAGAAATTGGGGGGAAATATAAAGGGGTTTATAATTATGGGGTTAAAAATAATTTATGGGGTTAATAATTCTGACTTCAACTGTACATAAAATAACAAAAATGAACAAAAATAGATGTCTCCCTTATCTGAGCCAGTCATTTCAGGTTTTGGAGCCTCTTCTAATGTTCTGATGAGAGGATTCAGGTGTGTTCGATTAGGAAAGGTGGAAAATGTGTGGTGCTGCTGTGCTTTTAGGAACGGTGTTGGGAACCACTGTTATACACTATATAGAGATGTGATAGTTGGACATGTAAATTTCCTATTAATGTTACTCAGACAAACATGTCCACACTTGTTCTACACACACTTTAAACATGTCCTGATAATAGGAACACACTGTATATGCAGCTTAGCATTGAAGTAGCCTGATGAGGAATTGATTAGTTAATGGACATTAGATTAGGTTTGCGTTCGTTCGTTCGTGTGTGTGTGTGTGTGTGTGTGTACAGTAGTCAGCATTTGAAGTAATTCACAAAAGGTTTTGGCTCATGACAAGAATGGGTGTTACTGTTATACTATATATTTCTATTAGTTCTTACCTTTATTTGGTGTATAAATGTTATTCTAATATAATTGAGATTGTAAATGTTATTACTAGATCAATTATACACTCTATTATTGTAAACTTTATTATGTACACCTGTCCAATTGCTTGTTAACGTAAATTTCTAACCAGCTAATCCCATGGCCGCAACTCAATGCATTTAGGCATGTAGACATGGTCAAGACGATCTGCTGCAGTTTAAACCGAGCATCAGAATCAGGAACAAAGGTGATTTAAGTGACTTTGAACTTGGCATGGTTGTTGGTGCCAAAAGGGCTGATCTGAGTATTTCAGAAACTGCTGATCTACTGGGATTTTCATACACAACCATCTCTAGGGTTTACAGAGTATGGTCCAAAAAGAGAAAATATCCAGTGATCAGCAGTTCTGTGGGCACAAATGCCTTGTTGATGCCAGAGGAGAATGGCCAGACTGGTTCGAGCTGATAGAAAGGCAACAGTACAACCGAGATATGCTGAAGAGCATAACATGTCGAACCTTGAGGTGGATGGACTACAGCAGCAGAAAACCACACCAGTCCGGGTGCCACTCCTGTCAGCTAAGAACAGGAAACTGAGGCTACAATTCGAATAGGCTCACCAAAATTGGACAATAGAAGATTAGAAAAACGTTGCCTGGTCTGAGTCTTGATTTCTGCTGTGACATTTGGATGATAGGGTCAGAATTTGGCGTCAGCAACATGAAAGCATGGATCCATCCTTCCTTGTAATCGATTTAGGCTGGTGGTGGTGGCGTAATGATGTGGGAGATATTTTCTTGTCACACCTTGGGCCCATTAGTACTAATTAAGCATCATGTCAACGCCACAGCCTGCCTGAGTATTGTTGTTGACCATGTCCATCTCTTAATGACTACAGCACAGTGTACCCATCTTCTGATGGCTATTTCCAGCAGGATAACGTGCCATGTCATAAAGCACGAATCATCTCAGATTGGTTTTGTGAACATGACAATGTACTTAAATGGCCTTCACAGTCACCAGATCTCAATCCACTAGAGCACCTTTGGGATATGGTGGAACAGGAGATTCACATCATGGATGTGCAGCCAACAAATCTGCAGCATCTGCATGATGCTATCATGTCAATATGGAGCAAAATCTCTGAGGAACATTTCCAGTACCTTGTTGAATCTATGCCACAAAGGATTAAGGGAGTTCTGGAGGCAAAAGTTGGTCCAACCCGGTACTAGTAAGGTGTCCCTAATAAAGTGGCCGGTGAGTGTATATATTTCATATAATTTTCTTGAGTGTAATAAGCTACTGTATATTACATTTTTCTAATATTCTCCTTAAAATCATTTTAAATCTGTCAGTCCCTGAGGAATCGGGTCAAATATAAAAAGCAGAGAAACACTATTCAGCAACATTTACATTTGGTGATTTAGCAGATGTGAACACCTGCAGACGATTTTACTCTGAATTCTAATATTAACAAACAGCCAGAGGGTACGTGTGTAATAACACAGGTGTAATACATTATTGCAAGCAGTGACAAAGGTTTCCCAGTGATCTGTTCAATACTATTATAAACAACGACATGACTTTGTTGCAATATGATCACAAAAAATACCAAGCTACTGTGTGTAAATACAGTTAGAATTTTAAAAAGTTTTTTTGTGGTGTCACACTATCCGTAAATTACTCTAAAGCCCCAGAAGGGATTTACCCAATGCACCGAGCACTAGATTGATTTGGAGTTGAGTATCTGTTTTGAATTACCGTCAACTACGATTAAAAAACTGAACATCGATGCGTTTTTCCATGAATTGCTTTTCTGTAGTCTCACCTGTAAAAACAGCCCAGGTGAGATCAGCCCATTAAAAATGTGTAGTTGCAGTGAAATAGGAGTCATATGACAATCGGATGACCTGATCATGTGCTTAAACGCATTTTTTTCTGTAACGTTAAATCATAAGACGAACGACAGGTGTTGTGGTGAAATTTCTAAGCAATATGATTAATAAGCTGTTTTTTTTTCTAAGCGATTATTAAATCCCATGATAAATTTCGCAATTTCCCCTTAAGTTTCACATCGGTCAGACTTTCTTTGATACAGTGAAAGACTTTCAACGCATCACTCTGTAGTATTTCTTTAATTGTGAGAAGCTTCCTCTTTCATGTTTTTATTTTCAGCTAAACTCAAGCACATGATCGACTAGTCAGGAGGTCAGCTTAGGTTCCACCCACAAGTCCAACATGATTGGATGCTACACTACGCCTGATGATTTGATTGGACTAGCTACTGAGTTTGTTTGCGCTGATTGGCTGCTGCGCATGCGTCCCGTCTTCACAGTTTGTAATAAAGCGTCGCGTCGCTGCTGTACAGGCAGCTCGGGCGTCGTGTACAGTAGCTGGTAAGCGCATTAAACTATCTTTGTTTTATCATTACAATTCCTTTATAATGACTGAATGTGTTTGTATGTGCTGCTACTACTTAACTAGGGTTAAAACACTTCATTCAGCTGAAAGGAGGCTAATTTAATTCTCTCTATGGCCTGTTGTTGTTATTCTAGCCGCGATGTTTTTGTCTGTTTAGGTGGCGATCACGAGATCGTAAAATATAACGTTACCGTGCTAAACACATTTTAAGACTGGAAAAGTGTCATTATTAATGAAATTACATGTATTATTAAAACCTAAAAAAAAAAAGAAAAATGGCAGATTGTTATTATGTGGTTGTATTCTGGAAGGTGATTTATTATGGTTTCATAGAAGTAACATTAATTAATATGGATTCGACTGGCATGCAGTGAGAACATTTTAATAAAAAAACACAAGACAATATCATACATACTATCACACTTGATGCTTTATCTATGCCTTACTGTACATATTATAATTAGGATTTGTGTTGACAAATGATAGAGAACTTTATTTGCATATCTACAATAAAGGAAGTGTTGTTGTTTATACTCTTTCTTTTTTATATTGTAGAAAAATACATATAATTTGCAAAATAAAAGCCATTGATTGTACTTTTTGTAGTATAATTAGGCATAGGATGATAACCATTTTCAAGGTATAGTTTGGAGAAAGTCAAGGTTTAAAAGCCACCAAAATTTTCTGCTGTACCATTCCTAAGGTTTGTGTATTTTTATTTACATTTTATTAGGACAACAATATTTTCAGCAGAAAAGATCTCCAAATGTGTCAATTTAAATTGGTTTTAAACGAAGACGGCAGAAGTCAATAATTCATTTGAATTATTCAGCCTGACATGTTTACTGCTCCAAAATATTATAAATGTTTCTCAAAATAAAATATATTGTGTTCGAAGGGTGAAAAGTTTTAGTTTTTTACCCAGACATTTAAAAAGAACTTCTATTTTAGAGCAGTAATCACAATGCAATGAAACCATGATATTTTTATCCAAGGTTATCATACCGTCAGAAACTTGTACCGGCCCATGCCTAAGCATGTTTGTTTGTTTGTTTGTTTATGATTTATTAATCCTTAAGAGAAATTCATGTCACATCAGAGCTCACCATACAATAACATAAATAAAAAAATAAAAATGTTGAGTATAATAATTTCTAAGTTTAGAATCCTAAAGTCACGTATGCTATTTTAGTCTGATTTATTTTGCATCTTCATTTTCAGTAAATTGCAGAAATGAGCCCACAGACAGTAGCAGTTTTAGGTCTCGCCCTGAGCCTTGGGCTAGTTGTAAGTGGTTTTCCTGCGGAACAGCCAGAAAATGGGAAGCACTGGGTCGTCATTGTGGCTGGGTCAAATGGCTGGTACAATTACAGACACCAGGTGAGAAAATGAAACCCGAAACTAGTCTTTGGGGTGAAGTACAGGTTTTTTTCCCAAACTATTAGTCACCTTTTAATTTTCCCAGAACACTTGTTTGCTATGAATTTTTTTATTTATGTGTGTGCGTAGGCTGATGTGTGCCATGCGTATCAGATTGTCCATAAGAATGGGATTCCTGATGAGCAGATTGTTGTCATGATGTATGATGATCTTGCTGAGAGTCCTGAGTGAGTATAACTGTTTAAGCAAATTGCTGGTTATCAATCGTGCAGTGGTTCTTAAATTCAGGCTGGCTGATGTCCAAAGCAATATTCAAACCTCTTGATACAGTATCTACCTGTTGCTCTGCAACTAAAAAGGCTCTTAGTTTAATCTTAGATGTCATTATTTTAGTGTTGGTTTTAATATGATTACATTTTAGAATCACCTGTATACTGTAGTGCTTATAGATCTGGGTTGGTAACACATTGGAGTCATTGGATCTGGGATCATAAGATCTAGATATGTAGTTGATTTGGGTGACAGCATAACTCGCATTGCCTATGATTGTAGAAAATGTGCTGTTAGTATTTAAAAAAGTTTCTGCTTGGGGTTTTTTTAGCCAAGATCAATGTGAACACTTCCCCTAAATCTCTTTGAATGCCTGATAACATTTTCTAGACCTCCACATTTGTGTACCGTCAAACAAAGATTTGAGTCTGTTCTTTTGCAGAAGTCACAAGCATCTAATTTAACCACCAGAAACCACATGTGCACCAGCAGGGAAAACGCATGAATGCCAGTCAGAAAAACCTGACTGACATTCATTTACGATTGTTTTTCTTTTTTCCTTTTTGGGCGAAAGTCACAAAATGTAATGCATTTAAAATCCAAAATAAATATTTTTAGTTCACATCAGCCAAAAGAAGCCGATATCTGTATAATGGCATAATCCAAATGTTATGTCTGTATTTGGAGGATTATTATTCATCACTATTTTTATTGATTGAGGCACAATATCACCTGGAGTGTTATGGATTGTTTTGTTTTTCCAAATGCATTTTTATAAACGTCTTATGATATTATTTATGAGGGAATGAAAGGAGGGCAAATTTTAACCTGTATATTTATCTTCGTGTTGTATAGCTGTGGCATTTATCGCTTTAGTGGCTTTTTTATGGATTAATATGTAGGTCAGGTGTTCCGGCTGAATTAAACCATGGAAGAAAGACGTGCGATATCTTACTTTGTCACAAGGTTTAATGGTTAATTTTTAACCCATGTTTGATAAGTGAAAGAAAAGAAGTTCTTTATATTGTTGCTTGTGCTCTTTTTATAATTAAGATTTTTAGTATTGATTTGTCAGTTCTTGCTCCTTAAAGAGAGCATGTTTTTGTGTGTTTAGTAACCCTACAAAAGGAGTGGTCATAAACAGACCAAATGGATCAGATGTTTACAAAGGAGTGCTAAAGGACTACATTGGGGACGTAAGTCAATACACTCGCTTCTGAATCTGAGATTTGACATGATAAAGGATGTGTTTGCCATCCATTTATTATTATTGTGTGATTTTCTTTTTTTTTTTTTTTTTAATAGGACGTCACTCCTGAGAACTTCCTGGCGGTGTTGAAAGGTGATGCTGCTAGTGTGAAAGGAGGATCTGGAAAAGTGCTGAAAAGGCAAGTTACCATCAAAACTCTGTCGGAGTGAGATTAGGGGTCATTAGGCATGTTTTTGTGTGTGTTTCAGTTATATTTGAATTGAACTAACAGATGTCTTGCTAGATGTGTTGCCCTCAGTTCCTGTGAAATCCTGACCTCTTTGTCTTTGCATGTTGAGTCAGATATGTGGTAAAACAGGTCTTGTGATCTAAAATAATTTTTCTTTTCTCCTTCCTCCTGGCAGCGGTCCGAATGATCATGTGTTTGTGTATTTCACTGATCACGGAGCACCAGGTCTGCTGGCCTTCCCTAATGATGATGTAAGCACTTTCTGCATCCTGTGGACATTTAGCTGAATCAGATCCTCATCACGCGCAGCACGCGGCTAATTTGTCAATCTGAGACATTTAAAATATAAATTACATTTAAAATATATACAGTAAATACCAAAACTGACCCTTTATATTTTTAATAGATATTTAATATACTGTATTATGATAATTAACATTCACAATACTGATAGTGTGAGAACTATAAAGTACAATGAATAATTATTTATTATTTAAAGATGAAAATAATGCGTCAAGATTTAAAATATTTTTACATCTGGTTTTTCTGGTCTATGGCTTTAAAAATTCTGTGACTGCTTTTTGTTTAAGTCCGTAAACTAAGATTCCACTAGGTAACAACAGTTAATTTAACTAAAGTAATTTTAATGACATCTACAAAATCGTCTTCGGTGATGTTAATTTATTAGTTAATGCCTAATAATAACACTTTAAAATCAAAAGTCGTAATCATTTTATTAAATGGAGTTAATGACTAATTAAAGTTATTAAAAAAACATAACTGTAAATGATACAATAACATGGCTATTTCTCACTGTTGACTTTAATATATTCACTAACATTTACTAATGAGACCTTACTATAAAGTGTTACCGGTCATCCTAATGCAATTAAAATTTGTTTAAAACATTTATTAACTTTATATATCTATATACATTAAATCAATGGAAGTATTTTTTATTGTAAGTGTTATTATAGGTGTTAAAGTCATCTTTTTCTTGCAGTTGAGGTCAATATTGTCAAAATATATCATGATAAAAAGACAATATAATAATTTAAAAATATAACTATAGTAATAAATATATTATAGTTGTGATTAAAATAACAATCACAATTTATTTTTTTTTGCCTAAAGATTATTTTTTAACAAATCTCAGATGGTCTCATACTTTTGGCCCTGATTTAATATACTCAAGCAGTCGGTCAGCTGACATAGAAGATTCTCTTATAATGAGTAACACGTTAAAAACAGTTTAGCTTTGAGTTCCATTTGCTGTGCTGACAACGTCTTCTCGTAATTGTGCGAGATCATCAGAGTTATTGCTTCACTTCCCTTCTGCATGACATGCTTAAATCAATAGTAGAGTTGAAATTGAATTCAGTCTTTTATTTTTCTCTCAGCTCCATGTTGACGACCTGATGGATACCATCAAGTACATGCACAGCAACAACAAATACAAGAAGGTGATCTGTTTATTCATCTGTATCAGTAAGATACAATTCCGTCAATTCTGCAAAACCCCTCTCATACATCATTATTGTCTTTTTCACACACATAGATGGTGTTTTACGTTGAGGCCTGTGAATCTGGCTCCATGATGAAACCTCTGCCTGTTGACATTAATGGTGAGGGTTTTTTTTCTTCACACACATGCTTCTGTGATTTCAATAACACTGTGTGTTTAATTTGGGTGTGTTTACTCTTAATGTCTCAGTTTACGCTACCACCGCTGCTAACCCTGATGAGTCCTCATACGCCTGCTACTACGACGAAGCCAGAGACACTTATCTGGGAGACTGGTACAGCGTCAACTGGATGGAGGACTCTGATGTAGTGAGTATTAGGATATTTTCATTCATTCATTTTCCTTTGTCTTAGTCTCTTATTTATCCGGGGCCACCACAGTGGAATGAACCACCAACTATTCCAGAGTATGGCCTTCTGGCCACAACCTTGTACTGGGAAACACCCATACAATCTCACATTCATACACTACAGCCAATTTTGTTTGCCCAATTCACCTATACCACATGTCTTTGGACTGTGGGGGAAACTGGAGCACCCGGAGGAAACCCACGCCAACACGGGGAGAACATGCAAACACTACACAGGAATGCTAATTGTCCCAGCTGGGACTTGAACCAGTTCTTGCTCTGAGGCGACAGTTCTAGCCACTAAACCCCTGTCTAACCCCAAGGTCATTTTAAAGGTTTCCAATGTTGTTTTGGAGCTCTCCTACAGTACATTTACTCTAACTCAAGGTTAAATTTACATGCAGTATCACTTCTTTTTTTTTTTTTTTTCAAATTATTCGTTTAAAGATCCAGCCTGTCTGAAACCCTTTTTTCCAAGAGCTACACTCCTCTGATTGGCTCAGATTGCTCGGTCGGTTGTCATTTTTGCCTCCTCAGCTTTTAGTTTTAACATATTAACTCAAGCCTGAATCATTGTCTTTTGAATGTGAATGCAAACTGGACTTGCTTTCACAGCTCTGAACATCCGCTAATAGCATGAATGTTTGTGCAGGAAGTAAAACTTATTTTAAACAACTTGTTTCACGCAGCTGAGAATCAGTTCTGGAAATAGTAACATACAGTATATAATACAGAGATTCCCCATTTAAACTTAAACTACATGAAAGATGACATCCAAAAATGCATAACGCCAGCATTTTATTAAAGAGTGCTGGACATCTCACTTTTTTTATTAAAATGATGTGTTTGTTTCTTTAGGAGGATCTGAGCAAAGAGACTTTGGCCAAACAGTTCAAGATCGTAAAGGCCAAAACCAACACCAGCCATGTGATGCAGTATGGAAACAAGGTAATACACACTGAAATACTTATGTCTTATACATAGCAAACATTCATTATACAAGTGAACAGATCTATACACTACTTCTAAAAATGTGCAGAAAAACAAATTTCACTTCCTTGAGTTGAATGTATAGATGGATGGATAGATAGATATGCGCAGAAACTGGTCATGTGACTTTTGTTGTTGTTTGCTTAGACATATGATTGAGATTGCTCCACTGGTTAGTCAAGTTATCCAATCACATCATCTCAAATGTTGTTTTAGTAATTCTCCAAACCTGAGTGAAGTTACCTCCTAGAACGCGATTGTTTTCCCACACTTCTGGAAGATGTTATGAATTATGTTCACTGTGTTCAATCCAGAGTATCCATTTCAGTAGCATCCTAACTATGCATTAGGTTATCAACACTATAATGACACTGGTTTGACTGATATGTAATGCAGTTCTGTGTAATGTCTGGACTTGCTGAAAGAAATTCCTTTGTTTTGTTTGTTTTTTTAGACACTGTCCCACATGAAGGTGATGGCATTCCAGGGTAGCTCAAAGGGTCTTGATAAGGCAGTGGAGCCAGTGTCGTTGCCTGTGATCGCTGAACATGACCTCATGAGCAGCCCCGATGTGCCACTTGCCATCCTGAAGAGAAAACTGCAGAAGACCAATGATGTTGATGCTGTTGTTGGTTACCTGAATGAAATCCACGCTCATCTACAGGTTTGAAGGACTCCTTTTTCTAATCAATGTAAAAATCAATACTAACCAGATAATTGTTTAAGGGTGTTTACACTCTTATTTTTAAGTCTGAACATGAGACTAAACGCACAAGAAAGTAACAAAACTACTTTAATGAGCAGTATTTAAAATAAGGGTGTGTGCTGTGCTAAATGTGATGTGTTTTTGCCATTTGAGAACTCATGAAGAGATAAAAAAACGTAATGTAAACAGGTCTTGTAAAATTAGTTTAAGGAAAAAAACATTCTTTTATTTACCAGGGACACATTCATTTGATCAATATACAGTGCTCTGCTAACTGAGTACACCCCATTTTGAAAATGAATATTTTCATCCATTTCTCAGTATATATATATGCATTTAAACAAAACAGATTTATTAAACGGATATATTTTATATAAAATAATATTTTAGTCACTGAACACGTTTAGAAATTGAGAGATAATACAATTAAATTCAAGCAAAGTATTGCAAAAATAAATTACAACCTACAAAATTACAAAAAATTTCCAAAAAAAAAAATTCTCTTGATTTAATTTTTTTCCCTCTCTTTTTATATTTTATTTGTATTTAATAGTTTTTTATAACGTATACATTTGAGTGTACAAGTTTTTTTACCGTTATCGTAAGTTATTTTGTTAAGCTCCAGATTTGGCTTCAGTTCTGACTAATCTAATGAATATGCACAAATATAATATTTTATAGCTTCCTATAAAAAAATATGAATTTAAAAGCTATATTTGTGAGGGGTGTACTTGTATATGCTGAACACTTTATTATATTCAATATTCCTGTATGTTCAAGTATATTAAATATTTCAAATTTAGTTTTCATAAAATATATAAATACTAGTAAAGTGGAAATTGGGTTTAGATTTTGGGTACAGTTAGGGATACAGTAGGTAATAGCATAAATTGTGGCTTAAACTAAAATGTTACCATTCTTCTTGATCACCAAATCAGTATGATTTTATATTAAAATTACATTAGAAATTATTTATGAAGGATTATGGGATTGAAAACTGAGATAAAATATAATAATAATAATAAAAATATATTCAAATAAATTCTATTATTGTACATAATTACTTATTTTACTGTAATTTTTCTGTTCATTAAATCGCGAGCACAAATACTTCTTTCAAAAATATGTACAGCTGAAGTCAGAATTATTAGCCCCCTTTGAGTTTTTTTTTTTTTTCTTTTTTAAATATTTCCTAAATGATGTTTAACAGAGCAAGGAGATTTTCATAGTATGTATGATAATACTTTCTCTTCTGCAGAAAGTCTTATTTGTTTTATTTTGGCTTGAATAAAAATGTTTATTTAAAAAACATTTTAGGGACAAAATTATTAGTCCCTTTAAGTGAATAATGCAGGGGGCTAATAATTTTGACTTCAGCTGCATATGACAACACAGGGCCAGTCAATAAATTTGTATGCGTGTACATAGGTGCGGGAGCTGCTTGGAAACACTATGCGTAAGATCGTGGAGCATGTTGTGCAGGACAAAGAGGAAGTGCAGGATTATCTGGATGGACGTTCAGACCTCACACAGTACAATTGTTACAAAACAGCCGTCAGACACTACAAGAAACACTGCTTCAACTGGCATGAGCAGAAGGTACTTACACAGTCTTCCAGCTCTTTTGTCTTTCTCATGACCTGTTGTGCTGTTTGTGAGACGTTCTTTCTCTCTTATTGCAGTTTGAATATGCTCTGAGACACCTGTATGCTCTAGTAAACCTCTGTGAGGGAGGATACCAGGCCCACAGGTAAGAATACATGTTTTTTTACCACCTCTCATATATTTTCTCTAGAGTATAATGTGAAAGCTTGGTGAACATTGAACCATGAAATCGCTGTGAAGTGTTTCTGTAATAAACAGCGCCCTCTGCCGGGAGTATTGCAATCGAGTGATTAGTCACAGAGAGACTTGTGCGTGTGGTTTCTGTGATGTGGGAAAACATGCTAAAAGAAAGACCAAATACAGTAAACAGTTAACTTAAGAAATCTAAAATAATGCTGTGCACTTAAATTGTGATGTGAACTTGTTTTAATCCACAAAAATAAATAAATAAATACATTTTAAACCCTTCAAAATGATGATAGAAAAGATTAAATGAATCTCTAACATTTGCTCAGAGAGTCACTTCACTAGCAGTTAGATTCAGATTTATTTTGTCAACCCCTTAAAATAAAAAAATTGAGACTGACATGTATTACTGTTTTTAAGGAGAAATTACCTTATTACGTCCTACTTAAAGTGGCTTTAACTACTATATACTTGCATCAAAAAAATAAGTACAATGTACTCATGTCTATATTGTATTGTAAAATGCTTATGGTGCTATTGAGGTGGGTTATAGGTAGGCCCACGCGGATCTGTGTGTACAGAAATCCGCAGATTTTTAGCCCATCACTGTGTATCACTGAGTGTATTTATTTACTTCTGTAAATTTATATTTATTCAGTTTTTAAATAAATTGTACTAATGTTATTGACAAAAATGAGAATGTTTACATGATTTATTTACAAAACCTTTTGTAAAGTAACATTAGTAAATATATTATATAAGAGACTTGCTTTGTTTAACCTATAAGTGGATCTAATTGGATTTGCATTGTATACATTAAATAAAAGTTTAAAAGGTCATTTTTTGATTTCATATATTTTTCTAGTAATGATACTCCTAAAATCATTTCGCATAAATCTGCAGAATTTTGTTTTACAAAATTCTGCACAGAAATAGCCATTTTTGCCATATTGCACAGCCCTAGTGTCATGATTTCAGTACAATTGACATGATTTGTGATTACTCAAATGTATTCTAACCATTGAAATTGAGTTGGGAGGAAAACAATTTTGTTTTATTTGTGCATTATTATTTTTCCTAAATGTCATATCTGTTTATATCACAGAATCACTGCAGCCATGGACGATGTGTGTTACTTCAGGGAGTAGAAATGTGAACTTGAGCCACCGAGGATTTATTATGGATGAACTACACTTTGCACAAAAGAGTCTGACTGTGGGCAGAAATCAGTTTCATCACACACAGCTTTTGATCCTTTTGAAAATGTTTCTTTTTTAAATGAGGATTTGCACTTTTAAAATTATTTTATGTAATGTTTTACTTTTTTCTTTCATATTTTGTTTTTTAAAGGAAGCATAAACTCGAGAAAATCCAAACACATTTTCCTGTTAAACTTTTATTTTTTAGTTTTTTTTTAATCGGATGCCTCATAAGTGAAATCAAATGGAAAGTCTGCTTTAAAGTGACACGGCTACAGTGGCAAAGCTTGTTTTTGCACCTCAGTTACTGCCGACGTTAGTAAGAAATGCATTTTCAGAAACCAAAGCGTTTAAATGTCCAGTTGTACATGATGCTAATCTATTGCGTTAAAACAATTTCAAACAAACACTAGCTAGACACTATTTGCTACAGTATGTGTTGCACTAAGATTTTGTTTTTATTTTTTTTAAGCCGATGTTTTTTTAGGCTGATCTGCTTGTTTCCTGAGCCATGATGATCCCCTTTTCTCCCCCTATGTAGTAAAATCAAATGAGCTCTTCTTTGGTTATTAGCTAAATGTCTACCCATCAAACTAACCTGAAGTCTGTGGTCATACTTAAGAAGTGTCTTAAATAACTGAGCGCTGAATGAGAAGGTGTGTTTAGTGTCGGGCTGTGCTATTATGTCAAGTGGCCTCCGTTTAGAGCAAATTGAGGCCTGAAACTGAACTGAAGGGGGTGTAATGAATGACAAGTGTGTGCTGGAGTTAGGGAAATGAGTTTGCACTGACAACCACTGTGTGAAGCAAAACACTGAATGACTACATGTTTCCCTGTCAATGTATAATCTGTTAAGCAGTGAATTATTGGTTTATAAAAGGAATAATAAACACTGATGGAGTGGAATTTGTTGAATTGGTCTCTTCATTTTCTTTAAATATAACTTTAATGTTTTATTAATGTTGTAAATTGTGGTTGTGAAAATGTTCATGTAAACTACGTAAACAAAATAGTATTTTGCTTCACTTTTAGAACAAACAAGTTATAAAACCTGTCACTTTTCAAAAGGTACAATTAAAGGTACTTATTAATGCCTAAAAGGTACAAATGTGTACCTCAAAGGTACAAAAGTGTACCCTAAAGGTTTAAGATCATAGCAATTAAGCTATAAAAAGATGAAAGTTACAGCCTCTGGGGCAGTTTTTTTTACATTTTTATTTCTGAGTGTTTTATTAGTAAAAAATAATGTTCAGAATTAAAAAAAAAAAATTATTGATTTTTAATTAAATATTACTTTTTTTTAGCAACACATAAATCAGTGAAACATGGCTTTAAAGGGCACCTATGATTAAAAAAAAACATCTTTTGTAAGCTGTTTGGACAGAACTGTGTAAGTATAGTGTGTCCACCGTCATATTGGAGTGATATAAAGACAATAAAGGTTAAAATAGGATCCAAATCCCTCCCGTTTTGAGGCCGACTGCAACTGGTTTCCCCGCCCACTGAATTGATTGACAGCCGCATATTAGTATGTCTCCGTAATAACCAGTATAATCCAAGCAGCAACCTCCCACTCTCCCTCAGGAAGCAAATATGGAAGTAACTGAAACTGCAATTTATCGAAATTCCGCTAGTCCTGGCTCCATATGGAGCAAGTATCTAAATGGCCAACTTTACAGCAGAAAAAAAGGTGTTTACAGCCTGGTACAAAGAACAATTTTGGTTCATTTAGCTGATATTACCCTTCATGGCAACTGTGAGGGGGGTAAATTTATTTATGACTCATCCGTTTCCTTTATATTAGGTTATATTAAGTCTGCATAATTAAGGGCGTGGCCACTTGAGTGACAGCTAGGTCTCGCTGGTCGCCGTCACTCTACCTCAGCTGACTCCGGCAGATCATTAATAAGCATTAAAGGCACAGGCAGCAAAAACAGCTACATTGTGTTCAAAGCAGAAAATACCAATATTCTGAAAGGTTTAATAAATAATCTGACTGGTGTTTTGAGCTGAAACCTTACAGACACATTCTGGAGACACAAAAAAGACTAATCTAAAATCTCTAAAAAAGGATAAAATTGGTGCCCTTTAAATTTAACTTTTGTGTCTTTTTCTTTCTGAGTAAAAATAGTGTCAGACGCATTTAGATAAAGAATACTTTTATCATTTGATTTTGTTCAGGCATCAAAACAGGCTGTACAGTCGTTGACCCAAGTATGTTTAATGTAATTTAAATAATTATTGAGTTCATTTTACAAAACAAGCTGCTGAAAAGCAAATCCATTCAATATGTAATCTTTCAGATCTGATTTTTATTTTTATTTTGTTGATTTCTTAGGGAATATTAGTTCAGCCATTTTGTTCAAATCATTTTAGATACTTTTCCCTCTCCAGTTTCTCGTGTTCTTCTTTTTGCTTTTCAGCTGTGATCTTGAATGAAGTCTTACGATCTACATATTAACAGTTTCTGGAAAACCCAACAAAATGCACATTCTGCGTGTTGTTATGTAACACCAACAAATTAGAAATGTCCAGCATATTATCTATTGCACTCCTTTGATATTTCTGTGTATTTTGTCTTCTTTGCTCAGATAAATTATATGTACACCACATATCAGGCGTAAATACCACCAGATTCTGGTTCATTCATTTTTCCTTCAGCTTAGTCTCTATTTCAGATGTCGCCACAGCGGACTGAACCACCAACTATTCCAGCATATATTTTTACGCAGCGAATGCCCTTTTAGCTGCAACCCAGTACTGGGAAACATCCATATACACTCATTCACACACACACACACACTACGTACAATTTAGTTTTTTCTATTTACATAGAGTGCATGACTTTGGATTGTGGTGGAAACCTGAGCATCAGGAGGAAACCCAAGCGAACATGGGGAGAACATGCAAGAAACACCACACACACAGAAATGCCAACTAATCCAGCCGGGAATCGAACCAGCAACCTTCTTTCTAAGAGGCGACGGTGCCAAGATTGTGTTTTTCGAGGTTCTGAGAAACAGATTGAGAAATAACAGCTCTGCTCATCCAGGTGATTCAGAAAGTGATGATTCAAGAATGTCCAGGTAAATTTCAGCATCTACATTCTTAGCCCCCCCCCTCCCAAAATATTCCTCAAAAAAGCTGAACGTTTCACAAGCCAGGAAATTTGACTCACAGCGGTTTCCACAAGATCATGTTGTTCATCCTGGTGGGATTGAGTTCATACTTGCAGCTCCCTGGTTGTGGCGGGAACGAATGACGACATGTTCTTTGATGTTTGATGTTGAAGTAATGCCGATGGCTGATTGGCTGAAACTGAAAACTATGACTATGACACCTAAAAGAAAGAAGTGTATTATAGTCCTTTCAGTTCCTTTCAATTTTAATTTATTTAATTTGTTATTTTATTTTTATTTATTTATTTATTATTTAATTTTGATTAATTTAATTTACTATTTATTTTAATTTATTTTGTTTTATTATTTAATTTTAATTTATTTAATTTGTTGTTTTATTTTAATTTATTAATTTATTGTTTTGTTTTTTATTTGTTATTTACTTTTAATTTATTCAAATGTATTATTTAATTTGTATTTATTTAATTTATTATTTACTTTTAATTTTGGCAAGGCAGTGGCGTAGTAGGTAGTGCTGTCGCCTTACGGCAAGAAGGTTTGAACCTCGGCTCAGTTGGCGTTTCTGTGTGGAGTTTGCATGTTCTCCCTGTCTTCGCGTGGGTTTCCTCCGGGTGCTCCGGTTTCCCCCAGTCCAAAGACAGTGAGGGAAAGCCGACAAGAAAATAAATGAATGAATTTACTTTTCATTTATTTACATTTAATTAATTTATTATTTCAGATTATTCATTCATTATTCATTCATTTTCTTGTCGGCTTAGTCCTTTTATTAATCCGAGGTTGCCACAGCGGAATGAACCGCCAACTTAACCAGCAAGTTTTAAGCAGCTGATGCCCTTCCAGCCGCAACCCATCTCTGGGAAACATCCACACACACATTCACACACACACTCATACACTACGGACAATTTAGCCAACCCAATTTTCCTGTACCACATGTCTTTGGGCTGTGGGGGAAACCATAGCACCCGGAGGAAACCCACACAAAGGTAGGGAGAACATGCAAACTCCACACAGAAACGCCAACTGAGCCAAGGTTCGAACCAGCGAACCAGCGTCCTTCTTGCTGTGAGGCGACAGGACTACCTACTGCGCCACTGCCTCGCCTTATTCAATTTATTATTTAATTTAAATTTATTTTATGTTATTAACATTAAACTCTTATCACTTTCAATTCATAATCAGTTTTAAATTCATACGTGTAAATTTTCAAACAATCTAAAAAAAAATACTTTGATGTATGCCTCTGACCCTTTTATGGTGTAATAAATACAAACTAAGCTTGAATTGTTTTAATGTGGGCGAACACTCCATATGTTTTGTATGTTTGTTCATTTTGTTTTGTCTGTGCACCGTTTTCCCGCATAAAATATCTGAAAAATATTTCAATGACACCATGTGTTGTAGCTACTGTAAAACTTGCTCTATGTAAAACTTTAATTAATAGATATTTAATTAAATTAAAAGGCACATATTTTAACCCCCTTTTACATGATGTAAGATAAGCCTTTGGTGTCCCCAGAATGTGTTTGTAAAGTTTCATCTCAAAATACCCATCAGATTATTTATTATAGCCTGAATCTGCCCATTTTTGTGTCAGCAAAATAGCATGTGGCTTTAAATGCAAATGAGCTGCTTCATCCTGTTTCATCCTACTTCACTGTTCCCATGTTCGTGTCTGCTTCTTATCATGCATAACATCAGATAAACAGCAGTCAGTGATAGAGACAGACTCGGATGAAGCTGAAATAAGGCCACTAGTCAAAAATACCAGGTAAGTTTACTTAATGTATTTGTGGTGGAGTTTATTCAAGCCTTTCTGAAATGATGAGTCACTCACACAAATGCAGTTTGCATTCACATACACACATACATATTAGCTTTTATTCTAGTGCACTCTTTACTTTTAGTGCATAATTTGTAAATTGCAAGGTCCCGGAACAGATCAGGTTTAAAAATGCCAGAGGAGTGAGAGGTGTTGTGTTATTGGAGGGGAGGGTGGTATGGGGGGTGAATGCGGGTGTCACAGACAAAAGTGAAATGGAGGGGAGTTGTCGTGGACGAAAGTGGAAGTGCCGAATCAGATTTCAGAGGATCAGATTTCTTGTTTTGGCACGAATGAAGCCCTGCTTTTACTGACACTATGCTGCCGGTAGTGATTATATTGGTTAAGAATTACACAGTGGTTTTACTCTCTTTATTACAATCATGGTAAACTTATAAAACTAATGAAAATCAAAGAGAATTGTAATAAATTTTAATGCCAGTTTATTTGCAAAAAAATGTTCTGTGGACATGTGTATTGTATACATGTTATTATAGAAAGATGGCGCCTGTCAATCAATGCAATGGGCGGGGAAAACCAGACTCCTATGTCACGTTGCGGTGGGCCTCAAAATCACAGGGAAAAGAGACTTGTTGGGTTTATATCATTCCAATATGACAGTCCACACACTGTATCTACACAGTTCTGTCCAAACAGCTAATAAAAGATGATTTTCATCATAGGTGCCCTTTATCATTTTATTATTTTTTAGTTTTTTTTTTTTGCACTTTATTTATTACTTTTTTATTATTTCGCATTTATCTTATTTAAAAATTTGTCCTGAAATGACTAAGCATCACCATAGCAATACATCCTGTAAGTCATAAATGGCATATAAATCAGCTCCACGCCCTTTAATCAGCGTGTTACGTAATGACGTCTACAGGATGTGTTTGTGGCGCGGCCGCGGGGAGGCGCCACTGAGCGGCCGAGCAGCTGAAAATGTTTGGAAACTCCCTTTAATTCTCACCTGGAGCCTCTTGAGGATTAAGCGGAGAGGAGGACCTGAAGAAGCCCAGTCTGCAAGCACTATTCCAGACTCACTGCTCTCTGAGGGACGACTTTGTCCGAAAACAGTTTTGTGGAAATGCCTCACCTGAACTTTCCAGACCAGACTCACATGGTCCGTCCGATCTAAGGGATTTTATAGCGCTGGACGAGAGGAAACTGGGGGATCCCGACTATACAGGTAAAAACAAAAACTGCTCAAATATGAATATGAATATGACATGACAACACGTGAAGTGTGTATGAAGTAAAGTTAGAGGTAAAACTAGAACACTTTATTTACTCAGCTCTATTGTTTGCTCTGTGGGTTTAATCATTAAAGTTTGTCCGTCTCTGTGTGGTCTTAGTTTCAGTAACTTAAGTCTCTTTCACTTGATTGCATGCTTTCATTTACTGAACAAGATGGTTGTTTGAGGATGGTTAGCTTGTGTGCTGGATGATGATGCTTTTTATATGTTATTGTGTTGTGAATAATCCTGTTAAGTCCTGTTTTAGATGTGGAGGTACGGTTTGTTTTATGCATTAATCTGTATTTGTATTCTGTATACTTTTGTTTTTTAACAGCGAGGATCGCAATGGAAACAAGCCCAGGGCTTTATTGTGTTTATATCCTCGACTGTTTTATTTCAAAATGTATGGAATTCTAGTATTTTTGTACAATTTGTCTAAACGTCAAAAAAAAAAAAAATTCAATTCAATTAAATTCCACATATTTTTAATTCTCTATCTAATCCTTAAACTACCTCGTCTACCAAATGGTTGACCATGGTTTTAAATAATGAAATTCATTTAAAGTGACTGGTTTACACAAAAATCAAACAAACATAATCCTGTTGCACTACACTTGATTTTCATTTTATTGTAAAAAAAAAAAAAGAAAAAAAAAGAAAAAAAAAGAAAATGTGTTAAATGAGAATCTGAAATATTTAATATTTTCTGATTTTTACACTTTTCCTAATATATGTATTAATTTTGGTACTTTTAAACCGATAAATCAACCTCTACTAAGTGGTTGATATTTTTGAAATTTATTAGTATTGTTATCATTATTATTTGTTGGTGGGTGGGTATGGTAAAGGGTTAGGTCAGTGACTTTCATTTTTAATAATTAAAATTTTTGTAATCTAATTTAAACTGCAACACAATTTATACGAACAACGAATTGCACAATTTTGTAATAAAATTGCTCTCTGATTTTTTTGGGCAGGAGGGAATCTGTCAAAAAAATTTTAATTCATAATTAGCTTTACCTTCATAAGTGTTCTCATAAAAATTTTAAGTTCTGCTGCATTCGATTCACAACATTAGTTTTTTTAATCAATATTATTTTATTATATAATTATTTATTGTTGTTGTTGTTGTTGTTGTTGTTAATATAATTATTATTATTATTATTAATTTTTTTTTAAGTGTCAGTCAGTGTGGTGCAACCAGTGTTCACTGAGCTGTTTTGTAGTCATGTGACAAAGATAAACCCCTGTAGACTCTCTCATGACTGTATTATTTTAATATATTTTCACAAAAAACCTGAAGGTTGGCCAAGGTCAAATCAAGGAAAACATTTTAATTGTATTTATTTATCAGTTAAAGCAGGAATTGTCAAAAAGAAGAAGTATTTTAAAATAAGAAAACATATAATTAGTAATGTAAGAAAAGGACTAATATGACAAAATGAATTATAGAAATGAAAAAAAATCAGTAATTAAATAAAGTAATACTAAGATAAATATAAACAATCATATTTTAAAGATAAAAATAATTATAAGGATAAAATTAAGATAAAAATTATAATAATAACACACCAGTATAAAGGAGACAAGCTAATACATAGAAATTGAGTAAATCTAATAACTATAAAATAATCCAAAATGTATATGCAATATTTAAATTATATAGTATAGTACAGTATATGTAATATTTAAATTGTCCAGTGAATTTGTTACAATAAATAAAATATAGACTACAACAAACATAAATGCAATTATTTTAAAATGATGAACAATCACAACAAATGCAATATTGTAACTCAGTAACTGCATATTCCAATGATATTTTACACCTATTTCTAGTTTTTTTTTAATATGAGTTACTTAAAATTAATGAGTTACTTAATACTTAAAATTGTCCAATGGGGTCCCTCATAAAAGGATGCTAATATTTGTTTATCTGTGACATCTAAACATGTAAAACCCCTAGGTTACATCACAAGTTTTCCTTGACCATTTTCAAAAAATGAGACTTTGAAATATAAATACAACTTTACAAATTATATTTTGTTGTTGTTGTTGTTGTTGTTTTTGTTGGTCATTTTCCTTCCACATATGTTTATCATCTCAGACATTTCTTATCTGGCACTGATCTATAGAATTACAATAAATTGTTAAATTCCAGTGAAGGGAAAAAAAAAACTAAATCAGTATCAGTTGTGCATGTTTTAGCAGTGTGTGAGTGTCCTTTACACACACATGTAGCTTAGAGGTGCTTCACCTTGAGCAGGTTTGCATATTAACCTGAAGCAGAGGGGTTTGGAGAGGTGGAGCGAGACTGAGGGACTCCTGCACTTATATTCTTAGCTTGTGTGCTGTTAATCATGGGTGACTTGAGAAAGAGAGAGAGAAAGAGAGCTAGAGAAAGGTGATTGTAGGTATTGTTGGTCTTGGGTGTGTCTGTACCCGTCAGGCTGCCATGCAGAGGCTTGTTTCTGTAGAGATTCCAGATCAGTTGCGCAAGTGTGTGCTGAAATGGGAGGTGTGTGTGTGTGTGTGTGTGTGTTTTCCACTGGCCAACTGTAGGAAATAAAGTTACTGACTGATCTAATAGAGCGTCCCTTTGGTTTTATTTATGGTTAATTTGCTTTTGCATGATCTGAATCCATCGCTCGCAGTGTTTTTGACGTGTTTCACATGCTCGTTCCTCAACAGCCACGTGGTGAGGTCATAGCCTGTTGTCATGGTGACCAGTTGTTTGTGAAATGTGTGTTGATGAATTGCAGCGCCACACTGACATGGAAATGGGTGAAGATAAAAATATTTACTTATTGTGATTGGCGCAACAGACCTCGTCATTTTAAAGAAGGCTTTGCATTTGTTCGTTTATGCTTTGATTGGCAGATTAATTCATTTAGATGTTTTGTAGATTTTTCAGCAAATTTTGTATATTTTTCGATTTTTCTAAGCATGTTTTGTAGATTTTTATTTATTTTATTTTTTTAAAGATTTTTTTATTATTACTATCATTATTTGGATTTTTTTGCTTCACAGATTTTTGGTTCAACATGTCTCACTCCAAAGTCCTGTTTTAATAGGAAATAACATGCAAACAGTACAATGATGTTTGACGCACAGTATAGAAAAATGCACTAGGAAGTAGTAAATTATGGCTTTAAAAATGTAAGCAGCAATATTAGAGTCATGTGAATTCAGTTTTTTTTCTCCAAATTTCATTTTATTTGTCCTTTTGAATTAGAATTGCATTATTATTAATAATAATAATAATGATGATGATAATAATGATAATACACTTTAGTAATCAAAGAGCATATTTATTTTGCAGTTGAAGTCAGCATTATTAGCCCTCCTGAATTATAAGCCCCCCTGTTTATTTTTTCCCCAGTTTCAGTTTAACGGAGAGAAGATTTTTTTTCAACACATTTTTAAACATAATCATTTTAATAACTAATTTATTTTATCTTTGTCATAATGACAGTGCATAATATTTTACTGGATATTTTCAAGACACTTCTATACAGCTTAAAGGCACATTTAAAGTCTTAACTAGGTTAATTGGGTTATCTAGACAGGTTAGGGTAATTAGACTATCGAAAAAAATATATAGCTTGAACGGGCTAATAATTTTGACCTTAAAATGATTTTTAAAAAATCAAAAACTGCTTTTATTCTAGCCAAAATAAGACGGCCAGAAAAAAAAATGTGATCATGGAAGTAAACTCATACTTTGTCCTCAAATAGACGTCAGAAGCTAACAAAACCACTAGCAAAACACACCTCAGTATGTGTGTTATAATCCACACACGCAGAACATGCAGACTTAAAAAAAATGTAAGCAGCAACATTAGGGTCATGTGAAATGTTTTATTTTTTTCCCAAACTTCATTTTATTTGTCCTTTTTTAAATAAAAAAAATATTAATAATAATAATAAAACACTTTAGTAATCAATGAGCATATTTAATTCTTAATATGAGTGAAACTTCACAACCATTTTTTTAGAAATTAAAACAAAATACAAATTTATAACCAAGCAGAACAGCTTATATTTGGAGAAAAACAGTAGAACAGTGACTTTTTTTTTTTTAGATCAGCTGTAGGAAGTAAAGTTTATACTTTGTCCTCAAATAGGCGTCAAAAGCTAACAAAACCACTAGCAAAACAGACCTATCAGTATGCATGTAGTAATCTACAGAACATGCAAACTTCGTATTTAAGTAGTTTCTTGTGGTTTAATGTTGACGGATAATAGTCTGTATAATGATTTGATTGGGTGTACTGATCTATTCATCCAAAATGTTTTAAATGCAGCATAAATGGGGTATATGCACACAGACTTCTAATTTCAGTCAGCCAGCCCCAGGGCTTCCAGTTAATTGGCATCCCATACAAAATTGCAGTGTTTATGATCTGCTTTCTTTTAAAACAGAGATCTTCACTGCCTGGCTGAGATATGTGGGTATCAGACCATAAAGAAGCACTGCATTAAATTATATTTTTTCGCGACATGTCTTTAAAATATGGGCATTATTTTACCCCAATATTTTCAATGGAATTTCTGCGCTATGCTTCCACTAATGACATCGCTTACGTTTAAACTGTCTTTCATCCCCCTTTTTTTTTTTTTTAGCTTTAACCGCTAAATGTATGCTTGCATCTATTTAACTGATTATGTTTGAATTAAATTACAACATTAGTGCTGTAAAAGAAACCTTATGAAATTGAAAATAGTCATAAAGCTTTCACCGGAAGCTTAGCATTTGCTGAAAAACAGTGTGCATACAGCCCATTGTTACAAGTCATCGCTATCAGTTGTACTACCAGTCATTTTCTGTGCATGGCTGCACAATATATCATTTCAGCATCCATTTTGCAATGTGTGCATTCACAATAGTCACATCACAGGATCTGCGATGTTGAGCTGGGATTATAATTTATCAGCAATGAAGACTGTA